GATAATCTGTGAAAAATCTATTTCCTCTGCCTTCTCCCAGTGTTCTCTAGAAACAACCAGTCAGTGGCAGGAGAGTTTAAGCGCTGTTAATCACAATTTCACGTTGCTGCTCATCCTTGCTCTATGCTATGCTGCAGCTAGCAAAACCTGTTGTGAATACTCATTCTAGTTAGCAAAGCTACCAATGATGGCAGATGAACAATTTTCTTGTAATGATAAGTTGTTTCTCCACCATTAGCACATCTAGCAGTGAATGAAGTTGACTGACGACACTAAGACCCTCCTCCTGGTTCTGATTGGTTGTTTGTGGCAGGAACATTGCATTACTTTAGCTAGCAACAGTAGCTCAGGAAGGAGGTGGAGGAGATTGATATTTTCACAGATTATCTGTCTCATAGCAAACTATCACGACATGGTGACAGCTTTAACAAATATGGAGAAAACATATTTTTTATTAAAGTTATATACTGCAGCTTGAATAAAATGCAACTACATAGCATTTTTGAGAAGTCTGGATTGCTTCATCTATATTTTGCATGCTGCCTATGACTTGTTCCTGGGTAGGCCTTTCAGTAAGCTAAAACTAATAGAAAAAAATGTAAGCAACCTACTTGCATACTGTATGTGGACTGTTGCATGTAAAACAGTCCACAGTCCAGTAAATATTGTGCTAGTTGTCAGTATTGGACCAAAGAAAGCAAGGCAGTTGCAAGTCTTTAAAACTGCAACACTTTTGGTGGGTTAGATAGACTCAAAAAATTTTAACAGCAGCTGCGCGGGGAGGGCCCAATCTAATTTTTTGTCATGGGGCCCAAGAGTCCTGGCAGCGCCCCTGTTAGTTTGCGATTGGTTTATGAGGCAAAAATAATCTGTTTTATTTAGTTTAGCACTCTGGTCAATCACATTTTGTTTTTAAAATGATATATAAGCAAGCATGGAATATTATGAAATGATAAAGTACAAAATGTAATAAAGTAAAAGTCCAATATACAGAAAAGTAAACATGAAACGTAAAGGTGTGAACAAAATGCAGAAAAGATGGGGGGATATCTAACAGTTGTGAGCTACACTGATTTCACCAGCATGTGGTGAAAGTATTAAGCAAAAATACATTAAATTAAATCTCTGAAGCAATATATAACAGAGTAAATTCCAAATCCACAAACAGTCTGATAAAAGAAAAAAATCATAAAATTAAGTTGTCAAGAGAAGGCTTTGTCTTCCTTTTTTGTAAAAAGGTGGAAACTGCCATCCCAAAACATAAACGTTGATTATACTAAAGCAATCACAGCTTTATAATGTCTGTCATTGTTAAAATCATTATGCAAGAATTATTACTTAAAAAGAAATTTTTTTTAAAAATCTGCTCCACTTAAGAGGCCACTGGTGACCCCGGGGCCCCAAATAACTACTTAGTTTGTTTATGCCTTGGGCCAGCCCTTGGTCATCTCGTCTGTCTTTAAATTAAGGTTAAGCTAATCAGTAGTGAATTACTTTTTGGGGGTTTGAGGTATTTCCTCAAAATAATCTTAGCCAGGTTTGTCAATTGTTCTTTACAATCTTGTAGTTTAAGATGTCTCTGATATCCAACATCACTGTTGGCTATCCATGGAATGATTCTGTTTTCAATACATTTTTTAACTTTCATGATCTGTCTGACAGTACGTTTTTTCCCCAGGTAGTGGAGGACTGCTATAATATTTTGAAGGAGTATGGCTTCCGCTTTGTGAGAAGAGGACCCATCTTTGTAAAGGGAAAAGGAGAACTGCTCACTTATTTTCTTAAAGGAAGAGACAAACAGGGCTCATTTATTAATGGTTCATCCGTCACTCTACCACATCAAGTAGTAGATAGTTAAAGTCTTCGGATCTTTAGTCGAACACTTCTTTTTCCCATCAGCCACTTCTACATTGTTTTGAAAGGAGAACCAAAATTTACTTTAAAGGTTTAAAAGTACAATTATGTATCACAATTTCAGAAATGTCTATCAGTCTGCAACACTTTAGAAAGATGGAAAGATAGATGGCCAGATACAGTGGGTGGAAAAGTATTTAGTCAGCCACCAGTTGTGCAAGTTCTCCCATTTTAAAGATGAGAAGCCTGTAATTGACATCACAGGTAGATCTCACCTATGAGAGACAAAATGAGAAAACATCTAGAAAATCACATTGTCTGATTTTTTTAAAGGAATTTATTTGCAAATTATGGTGGAAAATAAGTATTTGGTCAATAACACACAAGCAAGATTTCTGGTTCTCACAGCCCTATAACTTCTGTAAGAAGAATGAATGGGGCCATGTGTCGTGAGATTTTCAGTGCAAACCTCCTTCCATCAGCAAGATGGAAGTGGCTGGGTCTTTCAGCATGACAGTGATCCCAAACACACCACCTGGGCAACGAAGGAGTTGCTTCTTAAGAAGCATTTCAAGGTCCTGAAATGCTTCTCGCCAGTTTCCAGATCTCAACCCCATAGAACACCTTTGGAAGGAGGTGAAAGTCCGTGTTGCCCAGCGACAGCCCCAAAACATCCCTGCTCCAGAGGAGATCTACATGGAGGAATGGTCCAACATATCAGCAACAGTGTGTGCCAACTTTGTGAAGACTTATAGAAAACATTTGACCTCTGTCATTGCCAACAAAAGATATATAACAAAGTATTGAGATAAACTTTTGTTATTGACCAAATACTTATTTTCCACCATAATTTGCAAAAAAATTCTTTAAAAAATCAGACAATGTGATTTTCTAGATATGTTCTCTCTTTCTGTCTCTCATACTGGAAGTCTATATGATGTCAATTACAGGCCTCTCTCATCTTTTTAGGTGAGAGAACTTGCACAATTGGCGGCTGACGAAATACTGTTTCCCCACTGTAGTGTTTTATAATTAATTTTTATGCTAATTTTAATTTAAATTAAATAATTCATAACAGTATTACTTAGAAATGCCATTTAGTAGTGCCATGCGTAGCTTATGCCATATATTTAGACAAACTTTATAAAACGACACAATTGGTTACTGTTATTGGAGTTTAAATGGACTAAGCTTTTCATTTTTTAGGTCAGTTGGGATTAGAGAAATATTAACACAGAAGGAGTCTGTCATATTTGCTGTATGGGTTATCACAAAGTAATGGCCATCACAAAGTCCCGATTTGAATCCCAAAGAATCCCTAGACGACAGTGACGTCACCTCAGACTGCCGTCTGTGGAAATACCCAGTTTTGGGATGTATCAGAAATGGGCAAGTGGAGAGAGAGCTGGTGGACTGCTTCGTACAAAGAGCAAAAATAACACATCTCAAATGTGAAAAAACTGAAGTTGATTTTAGACCTTTGGGAAAATACGAGTACCTAAAATACTATTTTCAGCTTGGGAGTGGATGAAAAGAATAAATACCTTGTTGTACACCGAGACAACATACTGGACAGAATCTTTATACAAGAGGGAACTGTACTTGAGAAAGCTTAGGTCCTTTAGTACAGTGTCAGGGTTTCCAAGTCAAGTCTCCAACCTCTGTAATAAATAATTTCTCATCAAATCCACAACATCTAGCTACATCTTTATGGTATAGGAATCCAAACTTGTGCTGTTTTTCCTTAGGCTTAAGTACTATATGAACATTTATTACTTCTCTTTAAATGTAGTAATTCAAAGCACATTTTTAACAAGACTGGATTAGAAGAAGTAAGAAATTCATTAAAACCTTGCAAGATAAAAAATAAATTAATACAAAGTCAAAGGAGTCTGAAACCTGTTCTAGCTAACAGGCTGGGACTGTTTGTGTAGGACTTTATATTATTTTAAAAGTCCATCAAATATTGTATTTACCCCTTCAGAATTTTCTTAAGAGTTTGTTTCAAAATTTAATCATGAATTGCAGAATTTGTTTTTATGCACTAACAAAATGACAGAGACCTTCTAATGCTGAATTTCTAGATGAATCAAAAACAAAGTGTTTTGTCTGTGTGATGACAGTTAATACCTGTTTATCTGTGTCTTTGTATTTGGCACTTCTTCACTATTTATTGGTTTAAATATTGTTTGGGGGGTTTCATTTCCTTCACTCTGAGCAGGAAATTTTCCAATAAAAATGTGGATTATGTAAATCCACATCTAAAACACTGTATATGTTCTGAAAAAACTACAAACCTTGCAAAACAATCAAAGTTGTTCAGATGTAAGGTATATATGACAACATACTGAGTGAGGCACAGTGTAGTAATGAATATGATTACTGAACTTCTCAAGGAATGAAACCAAAAATGCTTTCTTGCCAAAAGTATTCTTGTAGTGAAAGGATTATCTTAACTGGAAGAGATTACCGGAGGTATTGTGCTGTGAAATGATCCAATGTAATATAATACACCGTTCAGTTGTGTAGTTCATGTGACATTATTGTAAAGTCACAGCTAACATGGACAGTCCATAATCCCAGAGTCCTGACCTGAATCCTATGGAGATGCTGTGGCATGAACTTAAAGAGGTAATTCATGCTGGAAAATCTTCCAATGTGGCTGAAATACAACAAATCTCCAAAGATGAGTGGAATAAAATTTCTCAAAAGGAAGACTCACTGCAAGTTATTACAAATGCTTTATTGCAGTTGTTCCTTCTAAGGGTAGCCCAACCAGATATTAGGTGCAGGAGCAATCCCTTTTTTTTTTTACAGAGGGCCACAGAGATTTGGGTTTGTTTTCTCCCTTAAAGGGGTAGCATTATGTATTTTCCAAGCACATAGTACCACTTTATAGCACAAACTGTTACCTTAAGTCAGAGGTTCCCAAAC